GCCCGAGCCCCTGCGCGCGCCCCCCTGCCTGCGCGCCCCCCCGCCTCCGCCAGCCAGCGCCCCGCCTGGGCGCGCGCCCGTTGCGGACCTGGGGCCCCGGCGAAGCCGCAGCGTCGCCCCTGGGCAGTGGCCGCCGCGCCAAGCCCCCCTCCCGCGCCCTGGCAGCCCCGCCTCCTCCGTGCACAGCCTTGCTGCCCGCTGGCAGCCGAGCACGCGGCACGTGGCCGTGGCCCTACAGGGCGCCTTGTAAGGCAATCGGCCCATGCCGGCCGCCCCCACCTCCTTCCTTGGTCATTTGTGCGGGTTCCCGCTGGCTGCAGAAACCACCACCTCCCGAAACCCTGACAGGGTCAACCCCAGGGCCTTTGCACCACCACCAGCGGCAGCCATGCAGAAGTTTCTTCACCCACATGTTGCCCTTGGCTCTTCGTCTGCCTTCAGGTCTCCCGCTCTACCGTCCTCTCCGACGACAGGCCGTCCAGACCAATTGGCCAAAAACAGCTTCCCGCCCTCACCCCAGCCTTGCCACTGCCTCTTCTGGCAGCCCTGGCCTGAGCCCGCCTGGGCACTCAGGTGGGGACAGCACCAGCCTCCTCGCTGGGGTCCCCTGCCCTCTGATTACACCCTTACCCTCTCCGACTGACCCCTTCTCCCCACCCCACCCCCCCACCCAGAGCCGCTGGAGTATGCCTTTCTTTGAGATCTGGCCAACCATGAGTTCCAAACCCTGCTGGGGCACTCTGTGTCACTGCAAACCAAAGCAGGAATCCTTCAGGGGGCCCAGGGTTCTGCAGGATGGGTCCCTCTCCCCCATCAATGCTCTGGCCGCTCTCTACACACTCTGCCCCTTGCTCTAGCAGCTGTGGCCAGCTTCAGCCACACCGGCTTAACTGCTGCTCAAACATGCCACCCAGGCACGTGCCCTAGGGCTTCTGCACTGGCCCTTGCCAGCCTTGCACCTGGAATACTCTTCACTCAGGCCTCTGCTTGGCTGGTTCCCTCATTCCATCAGGTCTCAACTTGAATGTTACTTCCTCCAACAGGCCTCAACTGTCCCCCTCCAACACGTTCTATAAAACCTCACCCTGCCTGCCTTGTCTGAAGAGCATACATCTCAGCAAAGCGTCCATTCCCAGAAAGTGTCTCTGCCGACCTGGCCCAGGAGAATCGCTTAGGAAGGTAAGTGCTGGGTGACTGAATCCAGTCCTTCATCCGACAATAAGTGATTCGGCCCATCCAGTCACATCTCAGTTCTGGCACTCCTCCCAGGGGGTCCAGGTCCCACCAAGGATGGGGACAACAGGTGTCCTGGCTGTTGACAGGAGGGCACCCACACAGGCCAGTGTTGTGGGGTCTTCAAGGAATCTCAGGGTCTGGGAGTATCCCACTGAATCTGTCCTCTAGGTGTCTGTAGGCCCTCAGTCTGACACAAAGTGTTCAAGAGGGTCCACGGGGCAGGCAAAGGTTTTTAAAACTCTCTCTCAAGACCCCTGGCGGTCCAGTGGTTAAGACCCTGCTGTTCCAGTGGAGGGGCATGGGTTTGATCCCTGGTCAGGGGAAACACAAAGATCCCACATGCCATGCAGGCCAAAAGATAAAAAAATGAAAATCATCTCTCCATAACTCAATGCTTGCATATCCTCTGTTCGAAAGAGAGGGTCTCGGTGCTCTGTGACAACCGAGGGGGTGAGCTGGGATAGGAGATGGGAGGGAGGTTCAAGAGGGAGGGGGACATATGTATACCTATGGCTGATTCATGTTGATGTATGGCAGAAACCCACACAACATGGTAAAGCAATTATCCTCCAATTCAAACTACATTTTAAAACCTGGGGGTCGGGGAACACCCCCTCAGGTTCGCTTTCTCAACCGCCTCTCTCAATTCCCTTGAGAAGGCTCCAGGGGCCTCAGCCCTTGGCAGCCTGGGCCCCCCTCCCAACTGCTCTGATCTGTGCACAGGGTTTCCTAGAGTCTCCACCTAAAAGACGAAAAAATGAGGAACGGAGCCAACAGTGAAACTCATCTCATGCTGGCAGGAAGTACTATTTGTTTTTGGACACTTGAACTAATTGACACAGAAACCACATCTTACTTGCTTGTTTCATAATTACACATCCACATGTCTAATCCACTGCCCCCATGGTCACAGGTCCTAACAAGAAATGTAATTGGTGTTTTGGAGAAGTACAAGGATGGGTGAATAATAAAAGGCGGCCCGCGTGAAGAAGGACCGCAAAGGAGGGGCAGCAGATGGAAAGGGGAGGCAGGAAGAAAAAGAACCACCTCCAAAGGGCCTGCGGCATGAAAATCACCTGTGGAAGTGGAAAAGGTGATCTCATAGTTTTTGTTTGAAATCTACTATTTACAATACACCGGAAATTATACCTTCACGACTGTTGAAACATCCGTTGAAATACTGTAGATGTCAACTTCACAATACATGTGTGTGTGTGTTATATGGTGGTGGGTAAAGAGATTTTCAAAGTCTTTTCAGGGGATCCCTTACAGAAAAATGAACTCAAAATGGATTACAGACCTAAATGTAAAATGGCAAACATCTAGAAGAAAACATAGGAGAAAAATTTGTCTTACCTCGGGTTTGGTGATGAATTTAGGGATGCAATATGGAAAGCATGGTCCATGAAAGAAAAAATGATACTTTGCACTGTATCAAACTGTGATGTTTGCTATGTAGACAACACTATTAAAACAATGAGAAAAAAAGAGAGAGACAGGGAGAAGACAAGCCACAGCCTGGGAGAAAATCTTTGCAAAAGGTATATCTGATATAGGACTGGTATCTAGAATAGATGGTGCTGTTCAGTCACTAAGTCGTGTCCAACTCTTTGGGTCCCCATAGGTTGCAGTACACCAGGCTTCCTTGCCCTTCTCTATCTCCTGGAGCTTGCTCAAACTCATGTCCATTGAGTCAGTGATGCCATCCAATCATCTCATCCTCTGTCATCCCCTTCTCCTCCTGTCTTCAATCTTTCCCAGCATCAGGGTCTTTTCCAGTGAGTCAGTTATTCACATCAGGTGGCCAAAGTATTGGAGTTTCAGTTTCAGCATCAGTCCTTCCAATGAATATTCAGGACTGATTTCCTTTAAGACTGGTTTGATCTCTTGCAGTCCAAGGGACTCTCAAGAGTCTTCAACACCACAGTTCAAAAGCATCAATTCTTTAGTGCTCAGCTTTCTTTATAGTCCAACTCTCACATCCATACATGACTAGTGTAAAAACTATAGCTTTGACTACATGGACCTTTGTTGGCAAAGTAATGTCTCTGCTTTTTAATATGCTGTCTAGGTTTGTCATACCTTCATGACTACTGGAAAAACCATAGCTTTGACTAGATGGACCTTTGTTGACAAAGTAATGTCTCTGATTTTCAATATGCTATCTAGGTTGGTCATAGCTTTTCTTCCAAGAAGCAAGCATATTTTAATTACATGGCTGCCGTCACCATCTGCAGTTATTTTGGAGCCCAGAAATAAAGTCTCTCACTGTTTCCATTGTTTCCACCTCTATTTGACATGAAATGATGGGACCAGATGCCATCATCTTCGTTTTTGGAATGTTAAATTAACAGTTTCACCATACAAATGTTTGATGTTAATACTAGAGGAAACAGTGCAGGACTCATTATCTTTCAGATATATATACAATAGAGATAGAAAATACGACCATTGTTTAAGGCATTCCAGGATTTCAAGGTGGCCGAGCAGGACTTGATGCCAAATTTGGGTTATTTAGCCAATGTTAAGAAACTTTATACTTGATTCCTCGTCTCTAAAAGGATGTGATTATCTATAAAATCTGATTTTTTGTATCTATCCTTAATGTGTGAAATATTTTACAGTTTCAAAAGTTCTGTTACTATTCAGTTAATTAGGTAAACAGAAATGTTAGTGTAGAACCTCAAAATACTAGAATATACTTTTGAAAATATGGCAAATTCTTATCAAATGAGTTGTCTGGGAGTTGATTACTAGGGAAAGGTCACAGATTAGGTAAAAATAATTGAAACAAAGCTAAGCCTACATAAAATAATCCCCCCAGCCTTGTCTTCTGTTTGCTTTCTATATAATCCATATACTTATTCAACACTCACACTTTCGTGTTTTCATTTTCCCTAGTTGGCCACTATCCTTTGTTCTTCCTGTAAATGTCCCTCCTTGCTTTGGTTTCACTCCATTTTGTGCAAAGAAATGTTAAATATTAATATAATTTTGTGTTCAACCTGAATTTCTTAAATCCCACTCCACTGTTTGAATTTGATTCACTATCTAGAAGACCTGCTCAAGTACTGCTTCATTCAGACAGCCTGAAAGGAAACTCCTTCAGTTTAGATATAGGACAAATGGACTTTTCCTCTTCAAATGACAGCTGGACACAACCAGACAACCTAAAGTAGTCTATCAAGTTTATTTTATGCAGAGATGCAGAGAGTTTATTTCTACTTGTCCCCAATTTCAGTGTGCTGTACTCTCATGTCATTCATATAGCCATTTATATAGAACAACATTCATATAGAATAACATTCATATGGAACAACATTCATATAGAACAGCATTCATACAGAACAGCATTCATATGGAACAACATTCATATGGAACAACATTCATATAGAACAGCATTCATACAGAACACCATTCATATAGAACAACATTCATATGGAACAACATTCATATAGAACAGCATTCATATAGAACAGCATTCATACAGAACAGCATTCATATAGAACAACATTCATATGGAAAAACATTCATATAGAACAACATTCATACAGAACGACATTCATGTAGAACAACATTCATACAGAACAACACTCATATAGAATGACATTCATGTAGAATGCCGCTTTTACAGCCATCATGACTTACCTCCTCACCTCTGTTTGAAAGGCAAAGCTGTTTGAAACCCTTACTCCCTCCAACCCTCCACATTCTATCAACACTCCAGCACATACACATTTCTTCTAGATGGTCAACTTTTGATACTCTTTTTTAAGTTAATTTTGATTGCACAAGGTTTGCTTTTATTAGAGCATTGGCGTGGTAGGTGTATTGTAACTAAGCAGCTCTTCACTTGTGCTTTACAATGTATGCAAAGACATGTAAACACTCTCCATTGTTGATGGATGACAGAAATAAGTTTTCTCACTGATCGCCTTCTGATTAATATAAAAACAGCCTCAAATGGGCATGGGTGAATGCATTCTTTTCCTCTGATCTTCCTCCTCAGTCTCCTGCTTGCTCCTCTG